GTGTGTGTGTGTGTGTGTGTGTGTGTGTGTGTGTGTGTGTGTGAACTTGACATAAACTACACTCATCTGGAAAAGGGGGAATCTCAAATTATAAAAGGCTTCCCTCCATCAGACTGCCTGGAGACAGGTCTGTGAGGCATTTTCTTGGTGAATAACTAAGCTTCCTGTGGGTGCTGTTACTCTGGGGCTGGTGATCTCGGGTTGCATGAGAAAGCAGGCTGAGGAAGCCATGGCTTCTGCTTCCATTCCTGTCACCAGGTTCCTGTGGCCCTGCTTGAGTCCCTACCTCAGCCTCCCTTAATGACAGACTGTGACCAGGGGCCTTTTCCTTCTCAAGTTGCCTTCAGTCATGCCGGTTTTTATCACAGCAATGGGAAGAAAAGTAGGGCACATATTAGTGCAATCTGTCGCAGCAGCACACTAAAGGAAAACGGTGTTTCGTAAATTGAAATGTCAATAACTCAACCATGAAGAAGCGGGACACACTGCCCAAGGGCCTCCCCGAGGCTAACAAACGCCAGTGAGAACATGGACAGCACGTCAAGGCTGAAGGTTTTTCATATGCTTTATTTCTGAGAACACCTCTGTGAATGAAGAAATAAAAGCTTCATTCTGAGCTATTTTTTCCCACTAGCATATGTTAGCCGGTGGTGTGACACATGAAAAAAAAAAATCAGCATTCCATTCACATTTAAGGAATCAAGTGCCCCGAGATTTGAATAACTTGCAAACTCATAGAGCCATTCAGCAAGTGTAGCCAGAATATGTATGTCCAATGATGCTTTCTGGACACCTGGTCACACCTGGTCACCGAACGACCACTAGGTCAACCCTCCTCAATTAAAGCTGTGTGCGGACTGCTGGGTGTCAGAGTTAAACACTAAGACACGTGCATCCTTGCCTTGACTCAGGAAATCAGCTCAGGTACTTTGGCTTCCTGATTCTCGAAGAGAGGCCAAAAATCACAGCACACAAAGTCGGAAGGCTTCTGATGACATCCCACCAAATCGGGGTAAGAACATTTGTCGGGTTTGGACTGTCCTGCTGGACTCCGACACTGTAATATGAGCTCTCCTGAGTCCACAATTCCAGTCCCTGCAAGTTCTGTTCATAGCAATTAAGCCTCTGAAAAACCCCATACATGTAAGGCTAGAAAGGACATTAAAAATTAATATATTAAACGCTTCGAAGTTGAGTCTTAAGAAGACCACGGGATGTGGTGAGGAGCAAGCCAAGTACAAGCACCATTTCTAGAAGGAAGCAAAGACTATTTGCTCCCATTTCCTGAGTATCAAAGACGCAGAGTCTAGACATATAAAGCTATCTTCCCTCGAAGCTTGCCACCCTGGCTTAACAGCCAATGTAGCGTCAGAATTAAAGAGCTATTTTCTGATTCTCTGCCAGGGTATATTTTAAGACAGGAATTTTTAACTCCTTTGATTAGACTAGCCTGTAATAGCCACTGAGAATAAATCAACATACACTTGCTCCTGTGGGCTTAATCAGAAAAGCCTGGCAACATGTAATATGCAGTTTGCTTTGAGGCAAGGTACTAACAATTAGACAAATCAGAAATATGAGCCTATCCTGTTTTAGTGGAGGAAAAGACTCCTAGATTCTATTATTAAATAATTTCAATCAATTTTTTCCTATGAAAATAGTATATATTCATTATAAATCCTGTAACAAAGAAATACAAAAACTTGCTCACAGACCTACCCCTCAAAGCTAATCACTATTAAACATTTTATGTATTTCCTTTCAGAAATTTAACATAAAACATTTTTGACATACAGTATTAAATGCCTTTATAAGCTTTCAAAGCTAATTTTAACATAAAAGTTTTCATATTATTATAAAATGCTCACAAAAAACCTAAATGGTGGCAAACAAAAAAAAAATGTTGTGATAAAAACAGTAAGTGCCACCTCTCTCGACGGCTGCTCAGCGAGACTAAGTTCAGATCCTTCCACAGAACCACCCAAGTATTTATCCACACTCTTATCCAAGCACGCTCCTACCCAAATCGTTTTCACTTCTATGAGAGTAACAAACCCATCTTCCCACATTTTTAGCATGATCCATTTTCTGTTTTGTTTTTAGTGTCTGAGATTTTTTTTTTTAATATGTGTAGCTCAGGCTGGACTCGTCTAAACTTGGAATCCTCAGAACACCCCGAGTACTGGAATTACAAATCTGTACTATTACTCCCAGCTCTAGAATGACATCATTTATTAGCATTCTGTTGGAGTGAAATGATTATTATAATTAGAACCAGAAATCAAAGAAGGGAACCTATAAATTCTTTTTTAGGAAATCAGATCCCCAAGATTTTCTAAGTTAAAATCTCTTACGGAATTGCATGTGTTAGTAATGTTAAGAAAATAAGATTAGGATCTCAATTTTCATCCTCCCCATTTGTGTTATGATTTACAGTTTCTGCTGGTTCATGTGTCTTACCTTGGAAAGATGACTTATGGAAGGCAGTAACAGAGGGGGCTACAGCAAGAGGAAGTAAAGGAAAGGACAGTGACAATGTGTCCATTAACTACTCAACAGCACTGACTCCAAACAGTAGTCAAGAGATTACACTCTACCACACCCTCAACAATGTCTGAAATTCTCTGAGCAGTGTGTAGTAACTGTCTCCTCCACTAAACCCCTATTTCCCCAAATAAAAGAGATTCACACTGAATATCTACCAGGCACCTGGAAAAAAAAAAAATCAACCTCACTTGAGAGCTCCACAATTTAATGCCTCCCCTCCTTATATGGATGAAAACTCTGCTATCTAGAAAATTTGGGGAAGTATTTATGATTCATTTTATATGCACGTTTACTCTGTGTGCTAACCTAAGAAAAGAATTTGGCAAAAAATGCCCAAACTTTGAGTGATAACTAAGCCTCATATAAAACTATATAAACTAACTACTTCTTCATAAACTAACTACTGCTTCATCAGGACGGTATGGGCTTGTACATAAATATGTACTTCATTTAAATCCACCCAAAGCAGGACAGGGTGGAACAAGCCTGTCATCCTAAACTACTGACTCAGCTGAAGACAGGAAGATTCCTTGAGCTCAGAAGCTCAAGCCTAAGCTAGGCATCCTGATGAGACCTGATCACAAAAACAAAACAAAACAACACAAACAAAAAAAAAACCCAAAAGGAAAAAGAAATGCAAAGCTACCAAAAGAATTCCCGGGTTGATAGAAAAATATAAAATGGGATGACAGCTAAGACGATCAGCTTTGTTTCCCATTTCAATAACTGCTATCAAGTTAAACTGTACACTTGGTTTGATTTTTCGTATTTCTATTCAATTTTTTTTCTTTTTATCCTCAACGGGATGTACTTACTTCTATCTACATGACTGATCCATTAAATACTTGGCCTTATAAAGTTGGGAGCATCTAGCTATACACACTACATACTACACACAACACGCACACCACACCCACACCCACACACACATACACACCCACACCCACACACAAATCACTTAAGTGGGGAAAAAATCCACTTACCTCTGCTGATATCCATTGCATATAACTCTCTCAGTCCCAAGTCATTAAGAGATCTTGTCAAGTCCAGGGGCTCCTGTGCCTGATAATCCTTCAACAGCACTGTATGCAGTGGATCAAACTCACATTTACTGCATATAATGGGAACAAGATCTTGAAGCGGTGCATGGGGACTAACTCTCACTATGGTCTTCTGCGTTTTCTTAAAGTTGATCACTACTCTCACAGTTTTCTGAAATGTAAATTAAAGCCACAGTTACAACATAATTTATTAACTAAAACAAAATTTCCACAAAGGCATCTATAATGTTGTCTAGAATAAATGACCACCACAAGTCTCTGTTCTGTAACATGTGAATTAAATCATTACACCACAGGTTATTTATTAAAACAAACTCTGTGCAATGCTATCCAGTGTTATGTATTACTCAAGGCTTCATATTACTTCAGCAAATAGTTCTTTCCATTCTTTTCTTCTTCTGGTGTAAAATTTTCTTTATCATTAATACTATTTCCTAATTTTAAAACAAATTCTTAGAAAAGAAAAATTACAGTTTTTGTTTTGTTTTGATTTTTTTAATGGTCCTGGAGATTGAACTTAAGGGGTTGGGGAATAATCTTTTTGAACACTGTGAAGATGTGTCATTCTGATTGGTTCACTAAAAAGCTGAAGGGCCAATAGCTAGGCAGAGATTTCAGGCACACAGGATGCTGGGAAGAAGAAGGGGAAGTCACCAGCCGGGCAGAGAGGAAACAGTATGAACATACAGAGTAAAGATAATAAAGCAATGAGGCAGAAAGTAAATTAATAGAAATAGGTTAACTTAGGTTATAAGAGCTAGTTAGAAACAAGCCTAAGCTATTAGCCAAGCTTTCATAATTAATAAAAAGTCTCCATGTCGTTATTTGGGAGCAGCCTTGAGGGAAGAAAAGTCCTCCAATATTAAAGGTTTATTCATGGTAGACAGGTACTCGACTACTAAGCTATACCCCTGGTCCTTTTTCCATTTTCATATTGTTATAGAGTATCACTAAGTCCCAGATGGACATGAACTCAGTCTATAGCCAAGGTATGTCTTGAATTTGTGATCCTCCTATTAAAGCCTACTAAGTTTCTGGGATTATAGCCATGCACCAGGCCTAGCTCAATTTGTTTTTATAATATTAAATTAAAATCAAAATTCTTTTAAGGTTGTTTCTATATTATTTATTTATTTTTGTTTGTTTGTTTGTTTGTTTGTTTGTTTGTGTTGAGACAGGGTTTCTCTCTCTAACCTTGTCTGTCCTAGAACTTGCTCTGTAGACCATACTGGCCTTGAATTTAGAGATCTGCCTGCCTCTGCCTCCCAAGTGCTGGAATTAAAGGTGTGTGCCACTACTGCCCAGCTAAAATTCTTGAGAATAAAATATTAAGTAGATTTAAATCCAACAAGAACAAAGGCTCATATGTAGTATTACTAATATTTTTATATTGTGTCTTATTTTCAAATTATCAAATACACACAATAATAATTCTATGTTTTATGCTGTCCTTTATTTAAGGAATGCTTGTCTTGTAAAAGTAGCAGCATGAAAAAAAGTATTTAAAAAACTACTATCCTTCTAACAGGATCAATCAGATCAATCATACTAAGAGATTAGCATCATGCCAAGCACATGATCAGTTATCAGTAAGTGAATACTACTTATTATCGTTGATGTTTGTTGTTTATATTATTATTGCCCCAGTTAACTTTAACATAATAGTAAAGAATATCAAAATCATCCTTACTTAGATGTAATACTAATAATTCCAAAATTATCTACACACTTTCAAGTGTTTCCCCATTTTGATGTAACTGGATTAACCACATTAAAGATGGAACTCTTGCAATAGGTAGCTACAGTAAACGAAATCTACAGTTTTCAGATCCTCAATGATGTTCATTCACAAAACTAAAATCCTGTATGTAACTGAGGGGCTCCTGAGATTGACAATCTATTTGCTACATAAATAAAATTGCTCCAATATGGATCAATAGCATGTGCATACAGGAGGTAAATTCAGACCTAGACAGAAGACAGACCACTGTTTTATTAATATTTAACATTAAATCAATTATTATTTTCTATCAATGTTTTATCATGAAATCTGTCAACATTTTTAGTAAATGCTTATAAACAATATGAAGACAATGTAAGAATGTATGTATTCAAGTCAGTGCACAAAATTCTGTATATTTTACAAAGTAAAAAAAATGTTATGTTCGTAACTCAGAAGTATTTTTTTAAGTCATCAAAATTGACATCAGCTCACTGATAGAATGTCTGTCTAGCAAGTAAAATGTCCTGGATTTGGTCAAATACACAAATAAATAAATTAGCATTATTGTGATTCAAAGTTTCTGGTTAAAATTCACACATTAAAAAAACAAAACAAGATTTAAGGATCTGAATAGATGGCTTAGTGATTAATCGTGTGTGCTGTACAATCACAATCCATGTAACAAGCCAGGCAGGATTTCACACATGCCTACAGCCCCAGTATTGTGGGGGTCAGAGACAAGAGAATCAATCGTGCGTGTGGACAGAGTAGCTAAAAATTAATAGCTCCACATTCAGAGAAAGACCCTGCCTCAAAGGAACAAAGCAGATAGTTATAAAGAAGGACACCCAATGTCCTCTCCTGGCCTCTGTACATCCACCTGGAAATTTACTACACACACATGCATGCACACACACACACACACACACACACACACACACACACACACATATCAAAAAATAAAAATGAGCTACTATATAAGATAATAAACTGTGATCTAGGTGTATATTGTATTAATGACTTACAAAATACATAGAAGTCAAATATAAGATTACAAATATTCAGTGGTTTTTAAAATGTCATTTAAATATAAAATATTTCAAAGCATAACTTAAACTATAGCACATGGATTACTGTCAGATCTTGATTAGCCAATCCTGTCATTTTCAGAGCACTTGATATCTAAATTGTTCTCCAATTCTCGTTGACCCAAGAATGAATAACCAGCTGATTAACAAAGTAGTTTAGGAAAATATGATAACCATATTCCAAAAAGCCAGAAGAGAAATCTAATCTTTATTTCATCTATGATAAACCGTAACCATTGGCTAAAAAAATTTACTGAATATCTCAGCCATAAGAACATCAAAATCTGTGACAGAATCCTTACCTCTGGGATTATAGGTGCAGGCTTTTTCTTGTCCAGAGATTTTGGCTTTAAAATGACCTTCTCTACCTCCAGCATTCCTATTGGTGTGTTTGGCTTAAATTTGATGAGATTCTCTTCAGCAGACAGTAAATCAATTGTGTGACTTGATGGGTTTAAGTGATACTGTGCGCAGAGGTACACGAGCAAGTCCATCGTTGGCTTACTGTAAAACAGGAGGAACAATGTCTTTAGAGTCCAACTCAGCCGACTGTGCAACTTGACTGTTTTGAGAATTCTACTCTGGTCCTGTTTGTCTTCAAGACATAAAGCAAGGCTACTACGACGTAAGAGTTGCAGGAGCAACTTAAAAATCTCATGATTAGGAAGACAAAATCCTCATAGATTAAAGGCAGTGGTTAGAAGGCTTGAGATCTTAGAGGCTAGTATTGGTTCAACAATTCTCTACATATTTTTATTTGCCAAGTTTTTTACATATAAATTGTAGGAGTCCTTCCTTCCCCAAGAATAGTCACTTGGTTTTTAAGATAGTCTTCAATATTATAACTTGCAGCTTTTAGCTCATGAATTAGCTACATCCCAAAGCTCAAATGGAACAAAATACAATCTTCTGGGTTTTAAAGTATGTGTGTGTGCATGCGTGCATATGTGTATGGGTGTGTGTATTATCTAGTAGTGAACAAATATATGTGGATCCTCAAACTTACAAAGGGTTCTTGCATTACTCAAAGAATACTTATTATTTCCTAAGTTCTGCTGTCATTGTACAAACATTGTTACATGCCTGTTCTGAAAGCTCTAACACTCAAGTTGGCAAACCAGATCCATGTCAGCAATTATGCTTTGTAGTCCACTTACAATCTGCCAGAAGCCTAGGCTAGCCTCAACTCATTGTGTACCCACAGTCAGGCCTCAGCCTTGGGATTCTCCTGCCTCAGCTTCCCTAGTGCTAGGACTACAACTGTGTGACATTATGCCTACTTCCGATGTTCTGCTTGTTAAATTGAGATTTTTTAGGGTGCATCATGCTTGTTGGTGCTATAACTTGTTAATATACTGTCTCAGGCTGCTTTTTTGTTATAGTGGCAGATTGAGGTCGATGTGGCCTGTAGATTGTATGGCCTACAAAGCTTAATACTTTTATTATCTGGCCCTTGATATAAAAAGTTGATGGGCCCTTATGTAAAGCAGTAGAAGTGAATGTCTGAGTTCATATGAAATAATGGCCCAAAGGAGAACGCAGGACTGATCTCTGTGCGGGGGAAAAACTTCCTCCGGATTCTTGCACACTCAGCTTGGGATTCAGAGTACTTCTGAGCTTGGGGCTCCCCTTTCTTGGGTAGCGCCTGCTACATACAATTCAGTTTTCTTCTCCACTAACAGAACACTGTGGTCTTGTCTTTGGTAATTGTCAGCTCTTTAGAAACAGGAAATTACAAAATCTTTTGTATCACGTTTTCCTCAAATGCCTGGTGATCCTGAACCATTCACACTTAAGACAAAGGCATGCAGGCATGCGCACGGAAGTCCTGTTTCTTATTTCATGGGTGGAGGGAGAGCTTCGCGGACTTCGCTTAGGGAAATCTGAGAGCGGCCACCCCCTTTGTTTTAGGGAAAATGTAAATGCCAGCAAAAATGATTTTCCAGTTATTCAACTAGAACCCAGCTACTAGCTTTCAGGAAGCCTGACAGGGAAATGAGGCGAGGAAACTCACCATTGAGCTTTCCATGTCAAATTCAGTACACCTGCTCAATACAGTGCCTCACCCATGTCCAAACTGCAGCTCCAGGTCTGTGACCTCTTTGACTTAGTCTAGAGAAACAGTCTCCTAGAGGGGAGCTGAAGGGCCAGCTCTCACCATGTGGACCTTAGGTGACATACCACTACTTTCCCTAGATTTCCAAACCATCCCCTATATTTTGCTTGGTTTCATCCCCAGGACATTCCAATCTCTAAGCATTGAAGAGCTATACCTCTCTCCCCAACTGGCCAACCTGTGGACTGAACCCAGGGCCTTACGCTACACCCATCTCACAAGAGGTATAGCTTTAATGGCACCCTTTGCCCCCCCCCCCCCCCCGTCCCATGTACAAGCAGCATTCCAGCGTACAATAAATGACTAAATCAGTAAATGACTGCACATTGCAGTGTGCAAAGCCTGGATTTAGAGAGATAATAAACAAAAAAAGAATACACAGACTCTTATTCCTAAGTGCTGGGGATGGGGAGGGTATGAGGGAATGTTTTTTAATTGGAAAGTGGCATTAGAATAGAGAATTGGAGAGAATCGGTGAGCTGGGGAAATTTCACATTTCAGCTCTACCTGGAATGCCAAGGCTTGTCCAAGGCCCTGGATGCAGAATATTAAAAAAAAAAAAAAAAAAAAAAAAAAAAAAAAAAAAGACAGTTATAATCTAACAATGTTTTTAAAGGCTTCTCTGGGAAAGACCTGAGATTTTATACAGTGAGAATTAAAAGGCTGT